TGTTGTGGCTAGGAATAAGATTCGAATAATGGCGCCCCTAGTCAGCTGGACAAGCGAACATCGCCGATCTGTCGGGCAGAGACGCGATCGGAACTGCAATCCAGCTGACTAAGGGATTCACCCCAGCCGCCCGGACGGAAGGGCAGCGGCCTGGCCGGGGGCAGGGGATGCCAGGCGCATCAGTCGCCCCGTAGAGCTGGAAGTTGGAGGTTCGTGTGTGTTACTAGCGACTCGATAATACACGTGTTTAGACCATACTCCCAGTCAGCCATTATTCCCTGACAAACCCGTAAAACCCACTATCACAACAAGTGGTGCATCGGCCGGTGTCAGGATAATTGTTGCTGGGTAGTAATTTTGCAAAAATTCGCGAATTTCCGAAAATTTTCTTCGTGTGATCGTGTGCGCACCGCGTGGTGCCACATGTGCTTCTAAAATCTGTGATTGTGAACCATCCTTGCTAAATTTCAAGTTAATATATATAAAGCCAGTTTAAAGTGATTATTAGTGATCTCCAGAAAAAGTTTTGTGCAAAAATTCAAAAGGATTACAAGGATTTAGATTGGATTACATCGACCAACGTGCAAGGTAGGTACGCCAACTCCATGCGGTCCTTCCCTTCACTCTATCTCTTCACCTTGTAGAATGGATGATGAATAATTATCAAGAGGTTAAAGCGTTTTTAACGGATGATAACTCCACACCGGCATTTGTCGTTGATAATTACAGTAGTTGGACTTTAGAGGACGCGACTGATTTGGCAAAACAACTGTGTGAAAAAATAACTTTATTTCCTGAGACACTAGAGACAAAAGTCCTTCGCAATAAAAATTATAATACTATATACATTACCAATCACTACAGAAGTTGTCCGCTCCCGTGCGTTCGAGTGCTGAGCACGAGGGACGACCTCGTGGCATACAAGCCAAATTACTGCAAATTCCCGGTAATTACCTTTAAAGCTTTCGTTACCAAACTCCTAGTAGACGCTGGAGAAGTAGTCAGTGAGGAAGATACGTACAAAAAGGTTGGTGATCTACTATTTAAATTTTCGTGTGCACTCGGCGAGGTCAAAGAGGCAGAAAGGGAATTAGCTAGGCGAGAGAAGTTAAGGAAAGAAGAAGAAGAAAAGGAAAGGTTGCGGAAAGAGGAAGAAGATAAAGAGAGAAAACACCGAGAGACAATGACGGCTTTACCACTGTCTCTTCAACCAACCCTGCCGAACTTCGATGAAAGTTCGGTAAGGGAGTGGTTCGAGAACGCAAGGCGTGTCTATGCTAAATACTCAATCAAGGAGGAGGATCTGCATATGTATGTGCTGCACTTCCTCCCACCGTATGCCAGAGGGAAGCACGAAGAGCTCCAAGGTAAGCCGTGGGCCGATTATGTGGAACAAATGGTACAAGCGTTCCAAACTGACAATTCCATGAGTGCAGTGTTGAGTTCATTATCGAACATGAGACCGAGGGAAAACGAGTCCTATAGGGCCTTTGCACACAGGCTGTACAGTGCGTCAAGGAGGTCAAACCCACCCCTCCCGGAAAAAGAGGTTTGCCGAACAATGTTAAAAATCTTGCCACCCTCAGTTTCGTCGATGCTTGTAGGTCGCAGTTGTGACAAAATTTCAGATTTTATCAAAATTTTAGAAGAATCAATTACAGACAAAAATTTGATTGACGCCGGGAGTATGCCCTGCGGTTTTGAGAAGGAGTGGAAGGATGAGGTAGGCAATTTGAAGAGACTTGTTGAGGCCAAAGAGGAAAAAATTTTGGCTGCAGTGTCTTCAGTAACAGAAGAAAAATTTGAGAATTTTTTGAAACAGTTTAAGGAGCTGAATGTCGAAAGTAATACTTTGTTTGTGGGAAACAACACAAACAGGGGCCGTGGGGGCAACAACCGCTACAATGGTCGTGGAGGCCGTGGCAATTTTAGATTCAGGGGAAATGGGAACAATTATTTTGGGCGCGGTAAGCAAAATTTTGGAGGGTATTACCAAAATAACGGTAATAACCACTACTTTCAGGGGCAAAATTACGGCTATCAGCCGTCAAATGGACCCAACGGTTTTGCAAATGGTTGGGGCCAAAACCAGGTTTTCCAAAGTGGCAACCAGGGGGGAACCTGGCAAAGTCAAGGTCAGCAAGGTGGCTACCAAAACCAAGCAAGTGGTTTCCAAGGTAACCAGGGTGGACAACAGAACCAAGCGAATGGTTTCCAAGGTAACCAGGGGAACTCCCAGAGAGGGGGTAGAGGGAACTGCTACTTGTGCAATGAGCCTGGTCACCGTATGTTTTCATGCCCTAAATTGCAGAATTTTCGGCAGTAAGTCAGCCTTTGATAAGAACAGTTACTCTGAAAAATAGTGTAGTTAAAACCGGTACACTGTCAAACGACAGTTACGTGGTAGTGCAAACCCCAAGGGACGGGGCGTGCTTTTATCATAGTTTGAGTTATTCACTATATGGTAGTTTTAATGGCAGTATGGCACTGCGAATGGTAATTGCTCGGTATGTATTCGAGCACTGGGATTATTTTAAAGATTATATTATAGGTTTTAATAAGTGGGATTACTTTACTTTGCATACTAATAAGAGTGAGATGGCAACCGAGGTACAGATGCACGCAGCAGCAGATGCGTTAGAGATAAGCATTAAAATGATTGTAGAAAAAGAAGTTAAAGTCTTTCAGTACAGGTTTGGTAAGCCGTTAGCAAGCGTTGTCATGAACTTCACGGGTCCCATAGCGTCGGGTCATATTGACGCAATGGTGCCGATCGAGACGTTCAAGGCATACGCTGATAGGTCCAAAAGCATTGCAAAGCAAGTGGATACATGCGCGGATAGTAACAAGTCGCAGCTGGGTCCCGAGCCCAGTGCGGGCCCGAGCCAGACGGGGGGCGCTGCCCGCACGAACCCGACACCAGGTGAATGGACGGTGGTCGGGAGAGGGGGCCGGCAGCCACAGGCCGCGCAGCCCAGCGAGCGATCGGCGGTTCAAATGACTGCTGACGTTGTGATTCCGGATGGAAATGATCCAAAATTGACCAGAAATAAGGCAGCGACGAAGGCAGAGGGAGACCAAAAGGAGCGTCTCCACGCGCTCATTTGTTCGTGCTGTTACGACGAAAATGACTGGAAAGAAATAATGAGCATTAATTGGGATGAACCGATTGTGGTCAGAGGTGTGAGTGAATGTTT